CACCTCATAGTCAACCTCACAGTCAAGTATCACACAATTTGCGGGAAGTATGAACTTGTCGACTCGAACTAGCACATCATCAATTATACCCAATGGCCTATTCATTGTTCGGTACACCATTTGCAACCTCATAGAAGTAGGTCTTGGTTGCCCAATCCCTAATGTCTTGAACACAGAATATGGCATCAAATTAATGCTCGCTCCCAAATCGCACAAGGCTTTGGCAAAATTGGCACTACCGATAGTGCATGGAATTGTAAAGGCACCGGGATCTTATAGNCCATTTGCAACCTCATGGAAGTAGGTCTTGGTTTCCCAATCCCCAATGTCTTGAACACAGAATATGGCATCAAATTAATGCTCGCTCCCAAATCGCACAAGGCTTTGGCAAAATTGGCACTACCGATAGTGCATGGAATTGTAAAGGCACCGGGATCTTATAGCTTTGGAGCCATGGAATGTACACTGGCACTCACTTGGTGTGTCATTTTGATCGTCTCACAGTTCATTGACCTCTTCTTTGTTACCAAGTCCTTCATGAACTTGGCATATCCCGACATTTGTTCTAAAGTTTCAACCAAAGGTACATTTATGGACAAACTTTTCATCATATCAATGAATTTCTTGAATTGGTTCTAGTTGTTTTGCTTTGCGAGCCTTTGAGGATATGGTGGAGGAGGCCATGGCAAAGGAGTCTTGGCTTTGGGCACTACCGTTTCTGGTATGTCTATCACGTGTTCCCTAGACGGGTTCACATCATTTCGTGTCTCCTCCACGTTATCATCAATGTCTATCCTCGCTTCATCATTTATATTCTCATCATTGGCTTGGATCTCATCATCTTCTTGCACAACCAAATAATTATTCACAATCGTTCTTGGATTGGAGGTACTTGCATCTCCACCTCTACCACTTCTTGTGGTCACCGCCATAGCATGGCATGTATTGTTCCCACCCTTTGGGTTTACTACCGTATCACTTGGTAGTGCCCCCTTATGGCGAGTATTCAATGCTTGAGAAATTTGACCCATTTGTATTTCCAAGTTGCGGATAGAAGTATTGTGGGAGGCTATTTGGGCATCAGAGTTGGCATTTCTTTCCATCATTTGCTTGAACATACTTTCTATCTGCCCCATCTCATTATTTGAAGAACTTTGCCCTTGAGACGGATATGGAGGCGGGTTGTTGGGTTGTTGATACATCGGGGGCCTTTGAGGGCCCGACCCCTGGTGCCCTTGATTATTGTTGTTCCAACCCCCTTGGTTTCTAATGCCTCCCCAATTACTATTATTGTTGCCACCCCAATTGCCTTGGTTATTTCCTTGATTCCCCCAATTTTGATTTTTGTTCCTCCAATTGTTCGGATTGTTGTTGTTGCTACTATTCCAATTCCCTTGGCCTTAGTTTCCTCAATTTTAATTGTTTTCCTGTGATCTCCACTGTTGTTGATTTGGAGCATTGCCCCGCTGACCTTGGTAATTGTTCACATATTGAACTTTGCTCGTCATAAGAGTCATCTTGGTTATACCCACTGCCACTTTGCTCAAATTGATCCTGATTATGTTGAACTTGTTGACCTCTTTGTCTCCTCTTGTTAACCATTACATTCACCCCTTCCATGGTATTTACTTGCTTTAGCCCCTGAACCTGCTGAAGTTGTGCCTTGGATAACTGATTCATGGTAGTTATCAACTCTGCTATGCCTTGTCCATGATCATGGAGTTCCCTGTGAAGATGGATAACATTAGGGTCACCCTGAGGAACGTTGGCCCGACTTTGCCAAGCTGAAGAGGTGTCCGCCATGTCATCTAATATTTCACATGCTTCTGAATATGGCGTGTTCATGAAGTTACCCTCTATGAGCTGATTCACCACACACTGTTTAGTTGTGTTCATACCTCTATAAAAGGTTTGTTGGATCATTGCTTCAGTCATATCGTTGTTAGGGCACTCTTTGACCATTGTCCAGTATCGTTCCCAAATCTCATGTAATGGTTCATTTGGATATTGTCTAAAAGCAAGGATTCCATCCTTCAATGTTGCTATATGTCTCGGAGAAAAGAACTTTGCTATGAACTTCTCGGCGAACTCATCCTAAGTGGTGATGGAATGGTTGGGTAGCCTCTCAATCCAATCCAAAGCCTTCCCTCTAAGTGAGAAAGGGAAAAACCTTAACCTCAAAGCGTCCTCAGATACATTCGTCTGCTTACTCCCCCAGCATGTGTCTACAAACCTTTGAGACGCTGATATGCATTCTGATGTGGAGCTCCGGTGAAGAAACCCCTTTGTTCCAATAGAGTAAGCATGACATTGGTTATTTAAAAATTGCCCGCCCGAATCCGTGGCGGGACAATTGCACTTGCGTAGCCTTCTTTCGGCAACACCCGGTGTGCTGCCCTTGGTGGAGCTGGGGGAGGATTTGGAACGTTGTCATGAGGCAGGTGGCCTCTTCTTTGTACTTGAGGTTCAAGAGGAACCTCATCCACTTCATTTTCATCTACCTCCTCCCCCTGAGGAATATGTCCGAGGACCTCGTTAAGGCCATTTGGTACCTAAAAGCAATTGACACAATTGACACACAAATTTTAGAAAAATGGAAGGAAAGAAAAACAAAACACACAAATAGTTAGATATATAGCTAAGACCATCTAACTCCCCGTCAACGGCGCCAAAAATTGATCGGGTCCAAACCTACACCACTATTGAGTAGCGAGGATGGTCGATGCAGTTTTACCCAACAAGGTCGGGATCGATTTTCACAAGGAGTTAATTGATTTGGAATTAGGTATTTATCTAAATCTAGATGCGTGTGTTGTTCCTAATTGCACTTCCAAACATAATGGTGTTGATTCTACTTCTATTTCTATTTCTATTGTATGCTAAGATTAAAGCTGAGTATAATATTTTTGATGTTGGTTTTCAAGTGTTTTAAAGGACTAGGGTAGTGACTTTCGCCTAGGTGGACATCGAATGGGTAGTAAGAATCTAGGGCAAGCTTGATTAATTTGGGATCGTAATATAGCCATCACACCCAAGTACTCACTCTATATCTCTCGATAGTTTGAGTGATTTTGCTCAATTTGGCTTTTTCAAGTCCAACTGGGTATTCATGCAAGTCATGTGATATTAGCTCAAGTCGGAAATTACTATCTCTAGGTTTAACCCTTTAATTGGGGCTATCAATTTCTTGAGTTCATCCCAATTCCTTGTTAGACTAGTGTTCCCAGACTTAAACCCTCTTTCTCAAGAAGAGACCAAATCATAAAGGCATGAATCAGTATTTGCAACCACTAATTCTATAATTCTAGCAAGAACTAGGCTAAATATCACTAACCCATAAACATTCAAGCCCTAAAATTCAATACTCATTAAATACCCACACTAGGGTTGAGTCACAACCCTAGCTATGAGTCTAGCTACTCATAATAATAGCAGAAATCAAAGATAAGGAGAAGATATAATCCATAATACTAAATTAAAAGATGAAAATCTAATGTTATAAAGTAAATTTTGTACAAAATTGCCCAAAAAGGAAAAACTAGCCGTCTCACGTACTCAGCAAAAACATAACATAACCTAGAATTGACAAAAAGATCTATTTATACTAAGCTAAAATATTCGGACAAACATACCCCTGCGAAAGTTTCGTGGCCGCTTAATTCTGACCGCGGCCGCACACTTGCTTTCGCGGCCGCGTAATTCTTATCGCGGTCTGCGTTTCTTCACATCTGGACCTGGGTTGAACCTTGTTTCATGGACCGCATAATTTTTACCACGTGAGAGACTTCCGCGGCCGCATAACTTTGACAAGGACTGCCCTTCTCATTTTTACTTGAATTATGCAGTTTTTGAACCTTAGGAACCGCAGTCCGCGATATTCCCATCGCAGTCGCGCTGGTAATTTTGCGGACGCATCTTCTTGTCGCGGTCCGCGTTCATGTTTGTGCCTAAAAAACCATCTCTCTGATTCTTCATATCGCGGATCGTGAAATAATGGTCGCGTCTATGTTGATACTTTCGCGGCCGCACTTTTTTGTCGCAGTCCGTGTTCCACACCTCTTGGCCCAACTTTGGTTTTTTTTTCAAGTTTTGACTCCTTTATGAGTTGATTATGGCTCCTTTGGATCATTTTGAATAATCCCTGCAAGAAAGCATGTTAAGTTAGTTTCCGGAAATACCTTCACGCATTTTAGGCCCAAAACACAAGTAATAGAGAGCAATTAATAGGCTAAAATCCCTACTTATCAGTTGCTTTCTTTCACTGTTCCCTACACAAGAAAATCTGGAGTTAGACTTAGGAATCCAAACCAGTTTGGGTCCCTTGTAATGAGGAAAGGGGTAAATGAGGGATCTTCTGGTCCAAGCAGTCATTATGCATTTTTTATACGAGGGACCAGGTTCTCTACCAGTAGTTACTTTTTCAGCAAAAATTTTGTTTTTTCTGCTGTGACTGAAATCTGGCCATACAGTTTTCTTTAAACTGCACAGTGTTACCGCAGTTAGTGTAAAGCCAATTGTCATGTATAGTAACGTACTTTCTATGAGGGTTGTAGGGAATCTTTTCCCTTTGTAACCAAATCCCCTGCCTGTTTCCTCCATTATTGGTGTACATGGCTGTGATAGCATCAGAGGACCAAGTCCACTTGAGTGATTTTTCAAGATCACTCTTCACTCTACCTAGTTCTTCCTGAAGTATTTTGTTTTTCTCAAGCTTAGAACACATACTAGACTTCACTCAATTTGACTCACTTTCAAGCTTAATGTGTGCCTCACTTGTAACTTCCTTTCCCTTTTGAGAATTTTCAGGCCTACCCTCCATTTTAAGTTCCCCAATTATTTCCTTCAAGTCCACTACCACCACTAATAGGTCATCTCTCTCATGCTCAATGTTAGTAACTCTCTCAGTTAAGACTTCTTTTTCCTTTCTTGCACACTCAAATGTCTCTTTTAGGTCTGCCGCAACGGCCATTAGATCATCTCTTTCATGTTCTATATATGCAATGTTTTCATCTAAGGCATCCTTCCTAGTCAAGATCATCGAGTACCTCAAGAAGCATGCAGAAATCAAGGGTTCAGACGAAGAAGAAATCAAGAAAACCAAAATCAAGGACTTCGATAAGGAATTCATTAGCGTTAAGATGCAAAAACTCTTCAATATCATATTGGTTGCAAATTTCCTTGACATTAAGCCTTTGCTCGATCTTTGTGCTCAGGCTATTGCTGACAAGATCAAGAACAAGTCGCATGTGGTTGTTCGACAAAATTTCAATGTTCAATGTGATTATACTCGAGAGGAAGAAGATGTCGTTCGGAAAGAAAATGAATGGGGTATTATCAATTTTAGCCCGCGCCAGAAATTATTTATATCTGGTAGCCGAAAAAGTGTATAAAACTTGTATAATTTTTGTATATAACATATAGAATGTATATATATACAAAAAATATTTAAATTTTATATATTTTTTCGACTATTATTTTTACGGCGGCTATATAGTGTCAGTTTTCCAAAATGAATGGGCCTTTGAAGGAGAAGAGAATTCGATGAATCCCTTGACTAGACTTAATTACGTCTTCGTTTATGTAATCTTTAGGGTTTTTTATTTATGTTTTAGCATATTAGGCTTTTCCTATTATTTTTCTATATGAATTTTTGTCCTAGTATTAGATAAAGAAGTCTTAGTAAGAACTAGCACTAGACTTCTCTATATATATATATATGGGATTTATTAGAAAATTTATTACCTATGAATTTAATACTTTTGTATTTGCATTAGTTATTAATTTTTGTTTGTTGTGTTTCAAAATCAAAAGGTCAAGGACAAGTAAATATATATATGTGCAAACGTATAGCTTATAATGGTGATTGACAATATGGTCGTTTGCCATCGGTTTGAAGCAGAAGGTGATGCGCCATTTTCACGACTCAAACAACCGGTACGCTTTCTAGCTCAAATGGACGGGCTCTCTATTAGCTTGTACTGCCGGTTGTCCGGCATTAGTTAGAAGTAGAAGTAGGTGTCGTCGTCCCCACACTTGTTTAATTGTCAAAGTACATGCGAGTCTCATTCAAATAGCATATCTTAGTGGAGTACTATTTTTCTAAGGTTAACCATTGTTGTTTATTACAAAGATTTACCAATAATTATAATACACGTTATCTGATTGGGTAAGTATACTTTACACCGTTAGAGGCGGATACATATGATGAGTTAAGGGGTCACCCGCACTCGAAAATTTCGGCAAAAACTTTATATATACTTGCAAATATCTTCAAAAAATAGTCAGATATTAGCATAGGCCCCCGTACCAATCTTTATAAGCAGTGAAAATTTTATAATGAATGTCATGGTACCCCGCGATCGTCAAATCCTAAGTCCGCCTCTGTACACGACATATATAGAATTTAAAGTAGATTGAGAAAGGTAGTTTTTGAAAAATCTCATGTATGGTTATTTTACAACAATTCATTACGAAGGATCCTTACTTGATGACACTTGGTACCCATAATAAACTACCTGCTGGTTGCCTTTGATAAAAGATATATGCTAAAAGCTTTTCATGGAATAAAATAAAAAGGTGTATATCCCGAAATAGCTAGTTTAGGCGGTAAACTTTTTGTAAGAGAAATCGATGCTTAAGTACTCATCTCCCCAGTAATGATGAGTTACGTACGTTGCCAATTAATTGATATTAATGAAACTATTCGTGACGGAGAAAAGCTGAAATTACCAGCTGGGGCATTTGTACAATGGGTTTCTCAAGCCCTATTGATATATGTGGTTGGCTGATCGATAGCAAATTAGCTCTGTTTTACGTTCTATATTTGAATCTCACTAACCCGACTAATCTGAATTAACACCAAGCTGATTTGTTGCAGGGCCGGCTGGAACCTAAGGACAATAAGGCAATGGCCTTAACCCCCCAAAACACTTAGGGACCCAACATCTATAAATAATATGTATAATATTTAATAATTATGCACTATTGATAGAATTTTAAAATCATTATTTTTTTAAAAAATATAATTTTCCGGTATCACTGGGTGTGTTGTATTATCTTTATGAAGGAGGGGGAGATTGCCTTACCTCCAAGATTACAACACTATGGAGTCCACCCTAACCAAAATAAGGTGTAAAACATCCTCTTGTGCCCAAAATTACAAGATTGGAAGCTTAGCTCAGAAAGAAATTTGCCTTATCATACTTTGTTCTAATGCTAGGTACTTGAAATTTATCTAAAATGAAAGTTCCCTTGATTTTCCTGGGCAAAAGGTAGAAAGACATGTACATCTTACTCTCCCATGTGTTGGAAGCCATTTTTGCCAAGTAATCCTCTGCTTGGTTAGCTTCCCTATAGCAATACACATGAGTGATATTGGCTTGGTCCATCTACTGTAAGATATCATCTATTGTGTTCTTCATTTTATAATTGTCAGTATGTCTTTTTTTGATCATGTTGACTATGAGCATAGAGTCCATTTCAAGCACGAAGTCTGAAAATTCATTCTGAATACACCATTTAACCCCAGCCAAAGCCCCCAAAGCTTCTGCTTCATTGTTGCTTGTGCAGTTAGCTGACAGAGAGAAGGCCATACACAAATCACCCTGCTCAGTCCTCAAAACACCTCAGAGCCCTGCTTTGCTATTTCGATGAATAAAGCTTCCATCTGTGTTTAACTTGAAAGTTCCCTATTGTGGCTTCATCTATGTTACCATAATGGTTTTAGAGATAGGTTGTAGTCTGACCATATCATCACAGTACTTGACCCAAGGCAATGTCAACTTGCATTTCGGAAAGGACCGAAGTACATCAACCATAACATTCCAAATGATCTGTTGCTTCGTGTTGTACAAGTTGAATTTCTTTTGATCTCCATATTTATACGAGCATTTATTCTTCCAAATTTCCTAACATGTGATGATTGGAATTATCTGCAAAGCTTGTTTGTGAACAACATTTTTAAACCTTTGTAGCCACCAGTGGTTGAGCCACCCGCGAATAGGTATGTGTACGTTCTTATTTCCCAGGGGAGCACCTATCGCTTTCCAGATCAACCTTGCTGCATCACTTTCCATCAACACATATTGGATATATAGACTCATTGACATGGTTAGTACAACATACACATGTAGAAGCAAATTGTCTACCAAAGTTAAGTAGTACTTCATCAAAAGAAAGTTTTGACAGCTATAATCTCCAAGTTAGAAAGGAACTTTTAAAAGGAATGCTAGAATGTCATACCTGACTAAGGAATTGATCCTTAGTTTTAAAAGCTATGAACATGTTCTGAGTAGTTTCATTGGAGTACCTAGCATTATCAGAGAGATTCAATATAGCTTGATCAGGGGATGTTTGGTCTCCAATGTTGTTTCCTTTGATATGGTCCACACTATCATCTGGGAATGTATCTCTGAGCTTTTCAATGTTCCATTTACCATTGTGAATATATTCTTTCACAAGAGTTTTCAGATTCTTCCTTTCATTTGGGAAGAGAAGTTCTAAAGGGCCCTTCCCCGATCAATTATCCCACTACATGTTAGAGTTGCGAGAATTTACTACCTAATGAATATGCGGTTCTGCTTTGTCTCTTATTTTTCTCAATTTTTGCCATACATGTGAATCCCATAGAGCATATTTCTTACTCACTGGATGGGATCTTTGGCAGTATTTTTGAGTCAAGAAGTTAGCCCAAAGAGATGGAATGGTCCTGAGTCTCCACCATCTTTTAGTTGCTAAAATATTATTAAAATCAATCATTCTTCTAACACCTATGCCTCCTTAATCACATGGGAAGCATAGGTTTTTCAATGACCTCTAATGGTATTTTCTTTGATCTCTAGAGGATCCCTAAAAGAAGATAGCAAAATGCTTTTCAATCAAGTTAAAAGTACTCTTAGGAAGGGACATGAAGGGTATAAATAGTAAGAGATTGAAGGATATGCTTAATTAAAATCAATCTACCACCATAAGATAAAATCTTACCATGCTAGCCATTAAGTTTCTTAACAATTATATTAACCATATCATCAAAATATGCAACTTTTTTCCTTCCTACATAAATTGGGCAACCTAGATATGTAAAGAAAAAATTCTTGTCCATATAACCTGTAGCATTTTTGATTCTATGTGCACAAGCATTTGGGGCAGTTAAGAAGAAGCTTTTATGAGTGTTGACCATCTGTCCAGAGCTATTTTCATAATCTTTAATGATCTTCATAATAAGATTAATAGAATCATTGTTGCCACTTGTGAAAATAACAATATCATCAGCATAGGCGGGGTGATTGATCTGAGGACCTCTAGTAGGCATACTAAAAGGAGTAAAAGAGGCATCGATGAATAAATCATTGAGAGAGCAGGTAAGTACCTAAGAAGCTAGGATAAAAAGTGTAGGAGATAGAGGATCTCCGTGTTTCAAACCTTGATTTGAGGTAAAAAAAAATGCCTTTCCTATTACCATTAACAATAATACAATACCAAATGTCAGACAACAGATACATGATCATGCCGTTCCAATGTTCTAAGAAACCTAATTTCTTAAGAGCTGAAATAATAAAATTCCAAGATAGTCTATCATATGCTTTAGCCATATCAAGTTTGAAAACGACATTACCACCATTATTATTCTTAGTAATGTATTGAACAATTTCGTGTGCCAAGAGGACATTTTCAGAAATAAGCCTATCTTTAATAAAACCACTCTTATTAGCACTAATTAATCTAGGTAATAGAGGATTGAATCAAATAGAGAGGATTTTTGAAATAATCTTGTTAGTGAAATTAGAAAGACTGATAAGCCTAAAACTACTAAATGATATAGGGGAGTCATTATTAGGAATAAGAATCAAGCAAGTACGAGTGTAATATTTAGTAAGAGGGGTACCTTTGAAGAAGTCCCAAACAAAGCCGTTGATGTCATCTCTGATAATCTCCCAACAGGTATGGAAGAAAGTTTCATTGTATCCATCAGGTCCAGCAGCACTAGTGGCAGACAAACTAAATACTGCATGTCTTATTTTATCCATAGAAGGCTCTTTATCCAAGTTGTCCCGCTCTTCTTGAGTGATCTTAGTAGAGATGCAGTTCATTATAGAAAGGTCCAGAGTAGGAGTCCGGAGATTGAAGTTGGAGTTGAAATGCCTAATAGCAGCCTTGGCTATTTACTCATCACCTTGAACTCAATTGCCTTTGTGATTTTTAATCCTATTCAAATGTAATCTTCTTCTTTTTTTCTCAAAGTTTGCTATGAAAAAATTGAGTGTTTCTGTCGCCTTTGTCAAACTACTGGATATTAGCTTTTTGGCTAAGAAGGGAGTCTTGCGTGTTCAACCATATGATATATTCAATATGAGCTTTGTTGGTTGCCTCCATGTCATCCTTATTATTGTTGGTAATATCAATTTCCTCTAGATTATAAATTTTTTCTTCCCATTCAAGGACATGAGCATGAATATTACCAATTTCTTCCCTGGACCATTGACTCAATCTTTTACTGAATAATTTCTGTTTGGATTGAAGTCTCCACATACTATTTCCATTGATATCAGTATCCCGTACCTTCTTAACAGTATTGAGAAAACCTTCCTGATTAGTCCAGAAGTTGAGGAATTTGAAGTAACTAATGTGGCTGGTAGAGGTGTTAGAGGATTTTATTAGAAGAGGCATGTGATCAGATCCCGTCCTAACTAGATGTTTAATAGTAGTATTTTGAAATTTCTGAGTCCATTTATCATTGACAAAAACTCTATCAAGCCTTTTCCAGATTCTTTTACTTGGTCTTCTATTGTTGCACCAAGTGAATTTAGAACCACAATAGCCAATATTAGTAGTACCACAATTATCCATACAGTTTGGAATTCCAAGCTTCTGTGCATCCTACGAGGGCTTCCCCCCAACTTGTCCTCAGGATCTAGAATGATATTGAAGTCCCCTCTAATGCACCATGGTCAATTAATAGAGAGACTGATGTGTTCAAGGCTGTTCCACAACTCTCTTCTTTCCCCACTAGTACATTTAGCATAAATAGTTGTGATGACAATGGGGAGGTTGCTTGCACCATCATCAACTTTGATGGAAATATGTTGTTCATGATTTTCAATGATAGTTGTTTGGCTGATAATTTTCCATAAGCACCAAAGTTTCCCGTTATCATTGTAAATACACTTATGATAACCCAGAAACTTCCTATAGCCATCGATTTTGTTTTTCCTGACCATTGGTTCTATGATTGCAACAAAGATGATGTTGTTGATGTCGATCAATTGTTTTAGCCTGTGGATGGCCTTCTTAGACCTTACCCCCCTAATATTCCAAAATATTGTATTAATCTTGGATAACTGTGGGGGAGGTAGTATCCTTCTTTTGTAATCCCTACAAATAGGAAGTATTTCTGTTTTTGTGTTTCATGTGAACCTTTCTGGATCTACTTTTTCCTCTGCCTTCAAGTAAGTAATCTTTCTCATTCAGGTTCTCTTTGTTTTGCTTGTTACCTTCATTCTGTTGTAGTACGCCTATGCTTTGATGTGGGTCAAGCATAGTGTTATCAGTTTCTTTCATTGTATTGTTGCCTTCATAGTTTTCTTGGTTTTAAAATATCTTAACAAATAATTGTATACCCGGCTTCTCAGTTACATTGGGTGGAAGACATGTAGAGCAAGAATTTGAATTCACATCAGTGTCTTCTTATTCTTCTTCTTCGATTTGATAAGTAGAAACCTCCTATTGACTTCTTATCACGACCCAAAATCTAATCCGTCTTGATGACGCCTATCGTGATACTAGGCAAGCAGACCTTTTCAAAACACTTTTAAAATTTAACAAAAATGAATTAAAATATTTAAAATAACTAGAGTCTTTCATAAAAACGGGGGTAAAACCCAAATAAAATATAAGTG